TTGTGGGAAAATTCTACTACCAGTCCTTCATCACCTTACACGAAATAGGGTAAATACATCTCATTACACAGAAATAATTAAGTTTTAATTGTTTCAGCTGCAGGATTTTTCATTTTGCAGTTTAGGTGACAAAATCTTATTTGACTTTATATTTAACTTATTTTTATGTCTTTATTACAAAAAAATTCACTTTTAAGGATGCCTTTATGGGTTATTTCCTCTTAAATACGAGGACAGCATTTAGCGTATTGGGTGCAAGCTAACTGGTAACTCTGTCCTGAACTGTGGTCTGTCATGTTACAGATGTTTATTAGGCTATTAACTACCACAAAAGCACATTTTGAAATTATTAATTCTCCATTGAAGTAAACGCGTTATTTTCCGGGCTGTAGATAAGAAATAGGCTAATCATTTTTCTCGTATACGTAATAAGCGTGATGGCTAATAGGCTATAATCGATATTTACCTCTCGCTCTCCTATCTCTAGATTCTGGAATATCAAAGAGTCACCGTATTGTAGACATGAGTAATCTATGGTATGAAGACCAAGATGGTATGGCCTTTGTGTGATCGCAGTCTTTTTTCGTTGCATAGAGTTTGTTTGGCCTTGTTTTCGCAACTTGGTCACATTGGTAGGAAGACTTAGAGGAACGCACCTTGTCCGTAGTCCATTGTATGCATCATCTTTTCCAAAGTCGGACCGTGGACGTGGTACATTCCCATACTTTCGCCGGCATCGTCCGTGAGTTTTGCCATTCGTAGCACCATATTACAACTCGTCAGAGACAAGTGAAGCCGATCCTTTGACCAAACGTGTGTTAAACAGTTATGGTACCTCCCCTTCTGCCCTGGCCTATTCACATTTCCTATATCCTCCTATCATGCCTTCACCGTCAAATTTTTTACCTGCTTAGTTAAATGTGATACGATGTGTCCTTTTGAGCGGCTTTCATGAGAACCCTCCGCACTCCACGCTGGCCTTCTCATCCCCCTTCATCCTTGTGCTAGGAATGTTGATCAGAGTCTGCAGTCCTCCTTCCCTAGGTCTTACCACAGTCTCTCTCCTGCCCCGTAGAATCCATCTGCGATCTCTCTGGTTTAAGTATTTCTCTCTATCTGCTACTCACAAACGTTGTGGTTCAACATTGAACCTAATCAAAGCAAGCAGTACCACACGATTTGTGGGTTGGCACGCAAGAGACTAGGACATGAGAAGTCGTAGACTTGGTATTAGAGATAGAAACAGGATAGACGCGGCGGCGATGGGAACTAGTGGGCTGACAGTAGTTTTTATAAGAGACGTGGTCCATGTGGCAAAGGCGTGACCATGACACTTAATCAGAGGCTTTAGCCTCGAATTAGTCACCCAGCCGCAGAGGAGGAGTAATAACATATCGAGTAGCAGATAGATAAATACTTAAACCATAGAGATCGCAAATGGATTTTACGAGGCAAGAGAGAGACTGTGGTAAGACCTAGGGAAGGAGGACTCCGTAACAATATGA